TTGCTTCATGTTCATTTAATTTAAGTCATACATGGTTACCTATGCTAAAATCTGAAGTAGACCAGAGAAACATACACCCAAATTAAATTTACCCCAAAATTATTAATTAACTACCTTTATTAATTTAAACAATGAGATTAAGTCAAAGTCACATAACTGACAATTTGCACAGACGAATTATCAGAGCGAATTTTCATATACTGTATTATCCTACTATTGTTACACAATTTATTAACATACTCTTTTTTAGGTTCATTTAGGTTCTTTTGAAAACGATAGCAGAAAATAGCTATCGAAACGTCAAGGTAATTTTTCAAATTAATTTCTTTACTAATTGGAATTTTCTCTTACAGCTTGAGCCTAAGGGTGTCGTAGGATACCCTCTAGGTGATAGTTCTTGATTACTTTTTGATAAAAAAATAGGAGCACTATTTATCAATCTGTAATAGAAGACGTGAGGAAATTCTGTCTTTTTTAAAGACAAAAATTTTTGAGGCGAAATACCCAACAAGAAGTTTGTAAAAAAATTTCACACTTGTTTTGTTGAAATTGGTGTCACATTTGTGTTTACATTGACTGTAATTTGTTTTGCTCTAATCAACTTTTGCAAGGATTTAAAAAAATAGAAACAGAAGTTCTTTCATGTTATAAATGTCAACAACTCCAATAAATAAACAAGTCCCAACTGTCACTCAACAACGAGTAATTTGACGTTTCGCAGCGCCACCATCGGTAGTTGAACGCGCGAATTACGCTTCTGACCTCCGTTTTCAAATATGTTTTTCTCTATGAAACTGTCCAGGAAAGTTACATTTTGGAGCCCAGCTCTCTCTCTCTCTCTATTAGTGCCTACAGGGTGTCAACAAAATTACAAAATAAAGCCCGTTGAATTGCTATTATTGAAGTTGCTGGCATGGTACAGGGTGGTCCAAATCAACTTTGCCAACTTGGTCCGATAGAGCAAACTCGACTTTCCACAACTTTGGCTCAAACTAGGCCAAGCGTCTTATATTTCAAAAAGCGAGGAATTCTTCCGGTTTCTTGGGAAATTCACATCCTTAATGAATCATCCGACCTATGCACGTGGACTAAAACCATCCCTTCATCCAAAACGTGAAATAAATATCGATCACAGGGAGCAAAAGGGGAATGGAAATCTGCCAGATCTCGGTAACGGAACGTCGGATCAAAACCAAACCAATGCAAGGGCATTTCCTGAATGTTTGCCCACAAAAATTAAAATCTGTGTTCGCTTTCAGGATCAGTCGTAATCACCTGATCGAAAGCCCCGTGTTATGTCTTTAATGTTTTAGCATAAATCGCTAGTCTCTAAAGAGGGAGATTTACTTCATGTCGAACTGTCCCCCTGTTAAAGTTATATCTGAGAAACTGGTTCGAAATATCCAAACATTTGTTAGGTAGTCTATAGTCTGTTTCAAAAACCGGGTTTTCCTCTTGGGGTTTTCTTAAAAAAAAAGACCTTAAAATCCATGTTGAAGCTGAATTATTCTATCTACTGGCACTAGTTAGACTCATTCTACTTGCCCTAGTATGTTTGACGACGAATTTCGCACGCCCTGTATGGCCGCTTATAATTTACCAATTAATCACGTAAGCTTAGTGCCATCCAAATGCACCCGTGGTGCAAATAATCTCGTCCCAGCCTGTTTAGCGTCCGGGTTACCATGGAAACATCTCAGGCGAACGAAATTTCTTCACCCAAATCCAGCCGGTTTGGGCGAAGACTCTTTGCACCACGTTTAAATGTTTGTGATTTCAAAGTTAATATCAACCGTTTTTAATGGATTTTTTGAACCACTCTGGTCTATATTGATTAGGGTTTGTTTGAGCCATCTTTTGCCTACATTGCCTAGTAAGTTCAAATTACTCCAAATAGACCGAAAATTGGGAAACTCTATTACTTTCCTGATTCGTTATTCCATTTAATGAAAACGGCTTCTGGGAAGAAAATCCCCAACGTCAAAACACCAGAAATAACTGATTACCCACGATTTCCGCAAAGATTGATTGGGGGCGCATCCTTTGAAATTCCAATGAGCCCTTCGGGCGATTCCAAATGGAGAATGTCCCATGGAAATGGAAATAATAAACCGAATTATTTCGAACTTTACGACTTGCTTTGCTGGTTAACGACAGCAGTTGGAACGTTGGATTCTAAAACAACCGCATTGGACGCGATGAAATGTGCTGTTAACAAAAATTAATCAATTTGTAAGTGGACGTGTAGGAGGCCAGTATGGAGACAAAATGTGCAATGATTTCCTCAGGCTGAAATAGAAAAATTATTGTCGTTTGCAGGGATCCATTTGCTAAGTAACAATTCGCGTGATAATCGTTAAGTAGCCTGGAGACACCGCGATTTTTCAAAATTGTCGCATTAATGACCGTGTCCAGGGTGTCCCCAAAATGGGACAGCCTGTTGTTTCCTTGCGCTCCATTCGAGATCCCCCCGTAGATACCTGGATGGGTTTCATGGACAGATTTAGGCAAATGCTTCAAGCCGGCGAATTTATTAAACGTTTAGGAGCCGACACAATGAATGACACCCATAACGTTACGAAATAACCGGTTGTGTACAGATTTCCTGGAATGTTGGCCAATTAACTGAATGATTTTATTATTGCTTTTTGAAATGGCTCCGATAATAATAATATTTATGCTCATCGAGCCAATTAGCCGAGTCGAGTCCCAAGCACCGCAAGAAGCAGGTATGCCAGCACGGCCATTCGCCCTTAAATCTTGTTTTTTTCGAGCAAACACATCTGAATCCAACTAATCCCATTGCAATGTAGCCAGCAGCCAAATTACGCTAATGCATACATAACTCGACCATTAAACAATGTGTTGATATATTTGCGTTAATTAAAGCACATGCACTCGAAATCAAACATAAAAAAGTCGCGTCCTTATTGGCTGTTGGCAGTGGGAAAGATTGCGTTTTCGGTAGATCGCACCGACCGGCTTTAATCGACCCTCTCCAGCATGATTTCATTCGAAGGGAACTCGTTGAGGAAACCCAAATCTATCGTTTAATCTTTTCGATGTTATTTAGGTCAGGGTGGCCGGCTTCCTCATCAAGGGTGCATTTATCAAGGCCCCGAGCTCCAGCGTTCACTCGATTTATTAATTAGCATTTGTTTCGGCGACACTGTAAGCAAACATAGTACGTGCGCAAATACCAGAAAACTTCCACACGTTTTTATCACATGTTTACATTGTTTTATCGTTCGGATTTACCTCTCCAAATCCAAAGGATCATAAAAATCCAAGCGCTCATCGCACTTAGTCAGCAAATGTCACATTTTTGACACGTCTTATTGAACTTGACCGACGCGCATGACAGCTGAACGTCACCGACAACTCAAAAGTGTCATCCTCAACTGCCATGAAGCATCATACAAATCCACCAAAAAAAAACCGCTTGCTAATAATCAATGGCATGAGACGCAATTTCCTCAGCAGGTTTTGAGCACGTTGAAAGTGCTGTCTCGAAACGACCCTGTTTGTTACGTGGTAGTTGTATTCAATTTCATTTTCACAAGGCAAAAAGTCAATAATAAATGCGAGGTCGCATATAAAGACGACACGGCCGGCTTTAAAGTTTTCGAAATCGATACAGAATACGAATTCTGGTTTCTCTTTTATTTGATTTTTTCGTCATTTTTATTTTGCTATTCGCAGTCGGTGAATGGGCGCAGGAAATCGATACATCTTAATCCGCGATTCAAGGGGCGCTGAAAAGGGCTGTCGTGTCCTTCTTCATACTTGCATCGAGGCCAGGATTGGACTTGAGATGAAACAAAGTGGAGAGCAAAGACTGGCGGATTTGCATAAAAGATAAATTTTATCGACAAGTTCCATTATCTGTTTGGTTGGAAATTGCGGAAAAATCAGGCAATGCAACCGCGAAAAACTGCAAGATAAATCAAGAATCGGAAATTTTCCAAATGCATCCCTGTATAGCGATTTATTGATGCTGATTATTATTACCTTTGGCCAACGTGTCACATTGACACCATTTATAACCTCAAACAGTCTAGAACGTGACGCAATGTCACGAAATTAAAGTAATGATTATCATCAGTTTCCGGTATAATTCTGCTCTAAATGCACAAAAACCTTTTTATGATGAATGGACATCTTCAATACCCCTTTCAAACATTTGCCTCAGTACTACGCCAAGCCAGAGAAAGCCAGAACGTCAAAGGAAACTAGTTTTGATCGACTCTCTATAAATCCAGCCATTACGGCCTTGGTCGGATATCAGTCGTTTGTGCCAGTTTGGCTCCGAGTTCGTTTTTAGCCCGTGTTCAGGGGAAAAATATTCAGGGTCTAGGACAATAACTTAGCAAATAGCAAAATAAATAAAAAAAAACTAATAGCAAAAACACATTGCTATAACAAATTCTACTTTGACTGTTGTATGGGATTTTTGATGCAATTGCAGATTAATTCGCGGAATTTATGAGCTTTTAAATTACGAATTATAGCGAGTAAACGCGCCGAGCGTGACTCAACGGTGCTGATGACAAATAATGAATTGATTTCGTTTACTGTTCAGATCTTTGCCGTTTTTCAGCAGAAACTGGGTTTCTAAAATCAAACTACTTGCAGTTTGAAAAAATACTTTCAATGGCCGTTCAAACATATGCTCTAGTACTACAGCGCCAAAACGTCAAAGGAAACTAGTTTTGATCGATTCTCCATCTATCCAGCCATTACTGGCTTGGTTGCGATTTCAATATTCTCTTCCTAATTTGTCTGGGAGCTTCCTTTTAGTCCAAGTGCTCAGGAAATTAATCGACAAAATCTCCGAGGCAAGTTTGAAAAAATAGTCAGGGTTGCCGAAACTTCTTATGACGTTTTATACGTTGAGGTCAGTGGGTTTTGTATGCATTTGCAAATGATTCATCTGAATTCATGATAATTTAAATTGTGAATAGCTATCACATGTCCCAACACTGACTCAATTAATCTGATGATACATAATGAATCAATCATGTTTACCGTTTAAACTGTCGCTGTGTTTCACGAGAAAATCGGTCAAACGACACCCTAAATGAGTTTTAACGCCGTTTAAAACATTTGCACTGGCACTACAAGTATAGAGCGTGAAAGAAAACTAGTTTAGATACAGCCTCCATCTATTCCACCCTTGCGGGATTTGTTTCCAGATCAATCCTTTCCTCCAAGAGCTCCCTTCTAGACCAGGTGCTCAAGGAATGTTAGGAGTTAGGAGTATCAAAACTGAATGCAGGGGCTGACGAAAAACTGTGTTTTTCTGAAGCAATTGCACATTATTTCTCAGCATGAATTTAAGATAATTTAAATTACGGAGAGCAACTAGAACACGTGCTAACCTTGACTCAATAATGCATTAATCAGATTTACTATTCAGATCTTCGTCGGGTTTTACTAGAAACTGGTCTTTTAAGGTCAAACTGTTTATAGTTTGAAATTCCCAGAATCCACAAACAACCTACATTCGTTTTTCAATGCACTTTGAAACATTTGCTCGCTCACTATAAGACTAGAACGTCAAAGGAAACTAGTTTTGATAGAGCACCCAGCTGCCTATCCACATAGGCTGGGTTTCCAGATCAATATTGTCGACCAATTTTGACTGGGATTTCCTGTTTAACCCGGGTGTCTAGGAAAACTATTTAATACCCGCATTCGAAATTAATGGAATTCATGCTGCAATTAGCTGAATGTAGAGCAACCTCGGCTAGCACACGTGCCAGCCTTGGAGTGAGTGAATCTGCTGACAACTAGTGAATTAATCAGATCGAGTATTCAAATTTTGATTGAGTTCGACTAAAAACTGGTCTTATGCGGTCAATCGGTATTGTAATTTGGAAAGCACACAATCCGCATCGCCCGGTATAATGAGCAAATGAGGTAATTTCAAACGGTATGTTGTTGATCAATTTGTAAGATATAATTTTCGAACAGTAACGCGGAAGTGGCGATTTAACATCGCCAATTCATGCAGAAGATTATGGGCCCCCCCATTTCTATCAAATCTAATAAAAACAGGAAGAGTTGAACCGGAAAACCGGCACGATTTAACGACAAAACTCTGTTATCAATTATTCCGGCTGAAAATTCTTGCCTGTTGGCGCAATCAATCATTAAGACAACCATATTTTTGCGCTTTTGTTTCACTAAGATCTCGACATCATTGTTTTGCAAGATTAATTGCAGCCTTTGCCACTGAAAAATCTAAACGTCCATTAGGCCAAGCCGGTTTGAGTATTTACATTAATAATAATAACGAAAGCGCTTGATCTTTGTTGATTTCATTGGCCTGCCATCCCGCCAGATTTAGCGCCAATTGATAATTGCACAAGGCCCAAATGGACTTGATGGTTTTGTGGTTTTTAGGTTCTACTGGGATCTGTGCATGTTACTGCTGCTGGTGGCGAATCTAATCATTCTGCCTGTGGCGATAAGTTTCTTCAATGATGATCTGAGCACCAGATGGATAGCCTTCAACTGTCTATCCGACACGATATTCCTAATCGATATAGTTGTTAATTTTAGAACGGGTAAGTGATCGAAAACTGGCCTCTGGACTCGGTGTGCATGATGTTGATTGGTTGCAGGGATAATGCAGCAGGACAATGCCGAACAGGTGATCCTGGATCCTAAATTGATAGCCCGACACTATCTGCGAACGTGGTTTTTTCTGGATCTAATCTCGTCCATTCCGTTGGACTATATTTTCCTGATTTTCAATCAGGTGGGCCTGGACAGCGTCCATTTTCCATTCAACTCAATTTTGTTTCAGTTCCAGGACTACGGCGATAGTTTCCAGTTTCTGCACGCTGGCAGGGCTTTGAGGATTCTGCGGCTGGCAAAACTGCTCTCATTGGTGCGTTTGCTGCGCCTGTCCCGTCTGGTGCGCTACGTCAGCCAATGGGAGGAGGTTTACGTAAGTAGTTTGTCCTCGTTTCGATGTAGCAGTAACAGTTGCGCAGCGCTTCTCCATTTTTTTATTTGGGAAATTCACAATTATTGGTTGACACTTCATGGCTAGTAGAAGCTCTGACGTTCATTTGCTCTGAGTACTAGATCGCAGGTGGCTGTCGCTACATTTAGGAAGATGAACATTTCGATTGCGACCGGAAATGTCCCGGAATTGTTCGATTGACGTTCAAAATAGCTGTTTTTCAGAACGCCATTGATATGAAGACGTTTATTCGCACTTTAGCAGCTGTAGATGTAGAATTTTGCGCTTGAGAACACATAGTTTTTACAATGCAATATTTTCCATAGAAGTTCAATTTCAGCAAAAGTTGTTAAAATAGATTTGAAGCCGGCCCTGTCCGATGTGGCGCAGCGCCGTATTCAGACTTAAATCAGTTGAAAAGTTGAGCACTCAAAGTTATTACTATGATGACGATTAATTTTGGTTGATTTTTATGATTTTGCCTTGAATTTATATTATTTAGGTTGCCACCAACATTGATTGAATTGGAGATTGTGCTATTGTTGATCAACCTTTTCCGATTTGGAAAAAACCTTTAGTCCGGTTCTCCTAGTCGGAACAGATCTGACTTCAGGACCGTATTAAGACTCTCGTCCTGTGATTCCAATCTGTTAATATTTTTCAAATAATGGATGTTTTATGAACAACAGCAGAATGAGGTCATCAGGAGTTTCAAATAAATACGTTTGAAATATAGTGAATTTTATAAGGCATTTTAGTGCAGCCTCATTTAGACCATGAGTTTCGCAAGAACCAATCGATCGACAGAGTTCATTTTACCGAGGAAAAATTGAAAAGTTTTTTGAACAAGACAATTTTTTAAAAGACGTTTTGGTCAGTAGCGTTTTGAAAATAAATTCCTCGATAACCAACTGATGTAGAACGTTGAAATTTGATGCATTTTGCAGACGAAACGCGTTTGGATCAATGAGAAAACTCGAATTTGCGCCATCATCACGTATTTTTCTACGGATTTTTTTGTTCAAGTCAGATTTTAAGGCTCTTCTGGGCAGATTCGGTTGCATTGACTAAAGCTGAAGGTTTCGACTTTTGCGACGTCATCAGGTATTTGTCCATCTATGGATTTTTTGATTCCGTCAATTGTTTTAGCGGTTTTGGGCAATTGCATATTCAAAATAATTATCGCGATAACAAGTCGATCTAACGCGTTTCAACTTGGTGCCAAGATCAGATATTCTGCTGTAGATTTTCACTAACAGGCTCAGTTTTTTCAGGAGTTTTCAGCAGTCTCCAAGTTGACACTAAATTTATCAAGAACCGCGGCTGCTTGAATGCTGCAAGTTCTTTGCCTCATCATCAGGAATGTTTATGATGACAATTTTCAACGCATTTCCATTGCGGCTTTGAGCAGTCAAATGTTGACTTAAACCTTTCCACAACCAGTCAATGTAGAGTCCTGTGCTGTGAAGAGTTTGGAAGAGAAACACCGGTTTTCTTTAACCTTAAAAAACGGGGCTTTGGCTCATTATCAGCCTGCTTTTTATACAATTTTTCTCAAGTCCTTATCTCCAGAGCCAACTATGCTATCGACTTTCAGTTAAAAAAGTTTCGACTTTTTGCCAACATCAGATATTATGAGGCCAATTTTCAAACATGATCCGTCTTGCCAAAGCCGTTGCACACTGGGGTGTTAACAATATAAAACTGATGAAAGAAACTTTAACGCTAGTTTCATCGGAAACCGAGTTTTGTGAACAAATCTCCTAGTTTTAATTTTAAGCCATCCTCATACATTTTCTTCCATAGTTGTGTTATTACTTGTGGTTGTTTCAGTTTTCATTGAACAAATTTGAAATTTTCCGTTGAAAAAGGTTAGTGCAAGCCGGCCCTGTTCACTGTTTCAGATGTGTATGAGTGTTGTTTTATGTCATAAATGTCATCAACTCCAAACAACCAAGTCTGACAAGTTTCAACTGTCAGTCGACAACAAGTAATTTGACGTTTTGCAGCGCCACCATCGGTAGTTGAACTTGCGAAAACTTAGGCAACGTTTACACCATGGGCGATTTCGTGCGCATAATAAAAATCGTGAATAGACGTCAGTCTAGGACAGGGTTGTATTCAGATTAATTTGGCGTTTGGAAAACGAGTTTGATTTTTTGATCACCTTTGTCACTTTTCGTTTGTTTGTTGGTGGAAAACTGGTAATTTGGAGCCAACACTTTGCGCCTGGGGTGTTACTATTCCGCCTGCATACATATTTTAGCAGACAACCATACATTTCCACAGGAGACTTATAAAACACGACAGCGTTTGACTGTTTAATTGATAACCTGGCGAATCCCTTGAGGATATATCGTGACGCACAGTTAAATTTATTCCAGGGATCGGCCCAGCTGGTCGATACTACGTTCGCGATTTTTTTTTCGTAAATAACCGTCTTTCGTCCGTCTGCTGGATGTGTGAATGACAAAGACCCAAGATGCCCCCAAGGCTTTGGACGGGCCAACAATACAAACCAATGTTTTTTTGGAAAAATCTTGTAAATATTTCCAGACAGAGTTCCGTTCTGCTTGAACACAAACTAGTGTTTGATCTGTGCATGCGCTTGCCGTCGCCATTCTCATCAATCAAAACTCTTTCATTTTTCCGTCCTAAGTTCGTTCTTCCGGTCGACGCGACTCACGCTTCCTATCTATTATCTTGTGTTCTTCGCTTTCTAGATCTTGCAGAATCTTCAAAAAAAGCGAACGGAAAGAAGAGGCCGATACAGTTCCGACCTGCACAAGCCGAGCACCAAGAGCAACTTGATATTTAAGGTAAAACTGTGCTTTTGGCATTGCGCATGAATCGTTCGCGCGCCAGCCGCGCTTGCTTCCGCTGACAACACGATATTATTGATTGGTTTATTATCTTTTTCACAACTTTTGTACTTTTATATTTTTGTAATTTGAACGCTTGACTACTACTACTACTACTACTACAGTTGGTGGGTTCGATTGGTGCAGGCAAACAACTCATGCTTGGATTTACGTTTGAAAGTGTAGCTTTTATGTCGGTATTACGCTACGCACTATTCTCCGATTTATCGCCCAATAAATTGGTTATTTTCTTGACCGAGTTGGCGCAGTGATGCCGAAATGGCTTGCTGCGCCAACCCAACGCTCCGACACAGTAACTCATCGGTGCAGTCACCCATTTGGTAAAACGCTACTCATAAAGAATGTGGTGACCTTTTCTTTGTTAGGGGTTAAAATTCCAGTCCCGGACCTCGTCAAGCTTTAATCCGTTAATCCGCCCTTGGGTTAAAGGCTAAGCGAGTTTCAAAGTGCGGCACAGTGAGACGCGATGTGTTATAATGAAAAATTCTCTACAAGTTCAGAGTTGTACGTTCAGTAAAGAAGAGTGCAAAATCTTCAAAAATTCATGCAAATCACAAGAAATCCTGGATTTTGCGCGCCTCGTAAATGTTGATTTGAAAATGAACGCTTTTACGCAACCCCAGACTCTTCAATCAAAAATTCCAACTTTCAAAGTACAGCCAGTAGAAACTTGAACAATTGACATTCTGGAGACATTTTTTAAAATAAAATTTTGGCGTAAACTTGCAGCTAAATGTCTGATATTCAAATTTCGTGCGGCGTTTTGTGACAAATCCACCATAATTTACTCGGGCACGTTGTTATAACTGGACCGAATTACAAATTCTCCATGCCTGCATCCACCCTGCGACTCAGTTGATGAATATGAGACTAAAAGTTCTACATCTACATGCCGAGCAGGGGCAAAGTAATACTAAACTTACCAAAACGGTGTCCTGCCACCTGGAAAGAAAGAAGAAAACGTGTTTAGTACAGCAGGAAATCAGCAGAGCAAAGAGAGAGAATATAAATAATCCATAAAACTTCAGTTGCTCGTCGGAAAACTAAGCTCAATTCTAGTTAAATCATTTATAAATTAGAGATCATTCTTAACAGCTTTCTACAAGCTGGGGCCCCATCCTCTATTTTCTGCCCATCAATCCTCAAAAATTCTTCACAGTTCCACAAACTGCAGCACTTCCGATAAGGGCCACAATGATTCTATATTTCCCTTCCAAGAACGCGATTTACACGACACAAAGGATTATCGACCGATTTCGTCCACTGTCGGTAGCAAACTGAATAAACATACACCCTTTAAAAAAAAAAAGCATCAAAGTTCAGAATAAACCTGCTTATTTAATCATTTGCGTGTTCGCCTTACCAGTGAGTTATAACTCACCAACTCACAGAGCAGAATCAACACAAAAGCGCAACTCAACACAGTGTTACCCAGGCCTATCTCACAACAAATTGGTTTGGCGCAATTTCAGTAAAACCAGCCTAGATTTCAACAGTTTTCTTCTGTTGCCTGTTGGCAACGGTGTGTAGATCGTAGGCTATGAGCCAASAGTCAAATTTTTTGCTGATGCYTCCAAAGAAACAACCAATTTTCTTTATTAATTGCTGAACTTATTGCAAACAACACAGATTTTCAACATCTGAAAMTCAMCAAAAAGGCAAAAACAACCTAACCCCTAATTCTTTGYCACTTTACTTSGAGAATCGCTGCCAACATTATCATTGCACAGTTGGTAAGCAACAAATAACCCCGAAAATTCCCGGAAAATCTTCTGCTGATCGCAGCCCAATTTATTGGGGAAAAGTGCGTGGTGTAAAACCGGTATTAGACGTTGCCTTGGGCGCCTTATTCTGAAAAACAGCCATTTTTGTCTAGTCAATAATCGCAAGCATGGATGCTGCCAGCGATCGGATCAGATCGGAGCCGGCTCAGACTCCAAACTTAAATCCAAGCGTGCATTTAGTGGACGATCGATTGATTGATTACGTAGCGAATTGAAGGCTAGTTTTGCAACATTCCGTAGCACTTTCGAGCGATGGCTCTTCCTTTCTTCCGGTCCTCTGAATCGAGCGCCTGCAGCTGCTTCAACTCAGATTCAGTGGAAACCAGCAAAAAATATCGTGATCAGTGGCCGACTTTGACTTTGTTAACTCACGCAACAGCTTTGATGCACTTTTCGTAGTTTTAACATCGGTTTTGGGTGTTTCGTAGTCGATAAGCGTTGCTGGTAATGGGCGCAGTCGGCAGCACTGAAAATGAGTTGAGTAATTTCACCAGGCCCTTGTAGGTCTTGGGTTGTTACTCAAAAAAACGCGACATCCTGAACACTAAATTGCTATTCAGGGCGGCTAGAGTGTTGCTTTATTAGTGCACACCGGCATTCGCCTAGGTAAGTATGAAACCTCATACTTTCCAGCTTCTTATTTACTACTACTATGCGCAGTGCCTTGATAGATCTGTTGGCGTATTGTTGACTAGTACTCATAGGGCTGGATGACTTAGGTTGGGTAGCCGAAGGCTCTTAGTTGAAAACCTGCAGATTTCGATTGTCGGTTCAGGGTCTCGGATAAGCATTCCTGCTGCCAGCTGCCATCTGTAATAGCTTTTCTGTTTCAGTTTCTTAATATGGCCAGCGTTTTCATGCGGATATTCAACCTGATTTGCATGATGCTTCTGATTGGACACTGGTCGGGATGTCTTCAGTTCCTCGTGCCCATGCTTCAAGCATTTCCAGCCAATTCATGGGTCGCAATCAACGAACTACAAGTAAGGAACTTCAACATCACTTCCAGGCTGACTGACTTTAAACAAATGCGTTTGGATTGCTTGCAGGAGGCCTATTGGTTGGAACAGTACTCGTGGGCTCTGTTCAAAGCCATGTCCCATATGCTCTGTATTGGCTATGGGCGATTYCCRCCCCAATCACTGACCGACATGTGGCTGACGATGCTTTCGATGATTTCRGGCGCCACCTGTTACGCCCTGTTTCTTGGACACGCCACCAATCTCATCCAGAGCTTGGATTCATCCAGGCGACAGTATAGAGAAAAGGTACCACTGCTGGACCACATCAAAACTTCATCCAGTTTCTGGTGTTCTTCGTGTGTTTGAACAGGTGAAGCAAGTGGAGGAGTACATGGCATACCGGAAGCTCCCCAGGGAAATGCGCCAACGCATCACCGAATACTTCGAGCACCGATATCAGGGCAAGTTCTTCGATGAGGAAATCATTCTGGGGGAACTATCGGAGAAGCTCAGAGAGGATGTGATCAACTACAACTGTCGCTCCTTGGTGGCTTCTGTGCCATTCTTCGCCAATGCCGACTCCAACTTCGTTTCAGACGTTGTTACTAAGTTGAAATACGAAGTCTTCCAACCTGGTAAGTTTGCTTAAAACGTTCAATGACAGAGTTGTAGCATTCCACGTTTTCCAGGTGATATTATAATAAAGGAAGGTACCATTGGAACCAAGATGTACTTCATCCAAGAAGGAATCGTGGACATTGTGATGGCCAATGGGGAAGTGGCGACGAGCTTGAGCGACGGTTCCTACTTTGGAGAGATCTGCCTCTTGACGAATGCCAGAAGAGTGGCGTCGGTACGAGCTGAGACGTACTGCAATCTGTTCTCTTTGTCGGTCGACCATTTCAATGCAGTTCTGGATCAGTACCCGCTAATGCGACGCACCATGGAGTCAGTCGCGGCGGAGAGGTCAGTGCGTTGGTTGGTATAAAATAACCCTCGGGGTTTTATTACAGTTTTTTAGTGGCTTTTGGTGTGCTACACGTTTGAGTTGGTTCGGTATTTACGCTTACACCATTTTCTATGTCTATTGGGAATCAGGCTGTCTCTTGAGGGCGCTGGATGGATATTTCATGAACCATTTTGTCAGATGATAATTGGCAGGAATAAAATTGAATTATTCTAGTTAATTCGATGTGTGTGTGATTTTTGATGATGGCTTATCTTTCTTCAAAATTGAAAAAATGCCTGGCTCCGCTGCCATTAATGGTCAAAGTTCTTCAAAAAATTCTCTTTTTTGAAATATACAGGACGATTCACAACCTTATGGACACAGAGCAGGGGCGTGTAGAGGACCTCAAAACAAGTCGAGTTTCGATTTAAGTTTTTTCTCAGGCCCACGGTTAACGAGATACAGGGTAGATAAGTTCTATATTGTTGAGGCGGATTCATTTTTTTTACAAACTTCTTGTTGGGTATTTCGCCTCAAAAATGTTTGTCTTTAAAAAAGACAGAATTTCCTCACGTCTTTTATTACAGATTGATA